GTGGTCCTTATTACCAAAGGTACCTACAATTCAAATGAGATTAGGATTTGTAAAAAAAATATATTTGTTTGTTCTGTGAATTTAAAGAAAACGAAAACAAGCTTATTGCATCATTTTGGTTAGAAATATGTTTTAAATAGCTGAGGCAAAGCAATATCAAGAAGATACTATATGACTTACAAACAGTTGGGAATTCAAAGTCTAAATTCAAATTTATTTTTTGTGTTATACTAACATATCATAAACTAAAAATATTTAAAGATCCTGTCTTCTGATATTCTCTCAAGCTCCACTCACTAAAATGACAACTATATGATTCTTCCGAACTAAGATTAATATTTTTCTGAATATTAAAAACAACATAGATTTCTAAAATATATAATGTTTCTGCTTTAATGGATAAATTTGGGATGTCTAAACTCCAAATCAAATTAGATTAGGCTGTATCATACATATCAACATACATCAAAAGGTAGTCCTCAGTACTTTATAAAGTTGGCTAATACTTGATATCTCCCCTCTCCCTTTCTATGCATTTATATATACATATCTGTATATGTATATATATAATAGATATTATATAACATGATGTAGGGGTCTTCAAAAAGCCAGAGGAAATGGAATAAAAAAATTCAATTTTCCATGAACTTTTAGAAAAAAATAGTTATCTCAGCTAAAATGCACACACAAGTATGTTTGGATATGCCTCTTTCTTCATCCCATGAGGATGGAAAAACTGGAGTAAAATGGATATACAAATAAGCATACTTGTTCTTGATTAACCTTATCTTATATTTCCTACTTATAATATCTGTGTTTTATCATCAATTAAGTTATTATGCCTAAAATGTTCTGAAAATTATTCAAAAGGCAATACAAAAACACTCCCATAAAATATTCTATGTATTCTGAACAAAAATGAAAGAATTATCAAAACATTTTAGTCACAAAAATAGCATGTTAATAATTTATTCTATTAGAGAAACATAAAAATGCCAATAATCGGAGTAAAAAATGAAAATGGTATGTAGTTTCTTAAGTATTCCTGAAGTCTGCATATTTTGTGCTATCTGAAAATATGTATCTATGAATGAAAGATGCTTCCATTTTCTCATGGATGTTTTCAACATGTCCATAATGTATACTATGAAATGATGGTAGAGGACTAAGTCTATCTGTGAAAGTAATGTGAAAAATTGGTCAGACACTTGGATTACTAAAACACCATACCCTTCTCCAAAATAATTTCAATACAGCTCTTCATAAATTAACATTGAAAAGTTTGGTTTATCTTTGAGCATACATGTATAGCCCACACCAAAACACCAACTATAATAACACAATGTTCTATGGCTTGCAGTGAAAATATCTACATCATATATTTTGTCAAGCACAGTGTAGATGACTAGAAGTTTTTGTTCTTAAGAAATGTAGTTATTTAGAAAACATTGCATCACAATTTTAGGAAATTTTGAACACTCTGTCCAGAGTGCTGAAAAGGGTGGGATGTACTACTAACCTAATGAATTCAGGAAGCTATATTTTCAAGTTTCAAATCAATGATCCTTTTAAAGGGAAACCAACATCAGTAAAGGACAGACATAGCCACAATTTATTCTTAACACTACAATTACATGGAAGTAATAGATAAATTAAAAGGGATAATTCCCTTTGCTCCATGAAGGGAATAACACAAAATACACCTAACAAAAGGTAGCATACCTGAACACTCCAAACCTTGGAATAGAATGTCCAATGGTGTGTCAGATAACTAACAGGCTTCTACAGAAAAACCCTGCTTCTGTTTTACATGAAGAAAGGGCCACATTTAGTGCAAGGCATTGCTCCCTTGGCTCTTCCAATCCACCAATAGCCAGTGTCAGGGACACAGATTAGCTCTGCCTCAGTCCTGAGGGACTTTGAGCAATAAGACACCATGTAGAGAACAGGGAAGGTAAATAAGAGAATCTGCCTTCCCAATGTTCCCACTGGCCTGTGTCAGTTTTTTTTTTTTTTTTTTAACAGTACTGAGGATCTATCTGCCTGTTTACTCAAGCTTAGAGTTCAGCTGAGGCAGCACCAACATTGTGCCTAAATAAGCAGGAGAACTTGTTATCTTCTCCTCATTTTCCCTTCAACAGCTCCTGGTCTGAAGGGAAATGGGGGCAGCCAAAAATTTGATCACCAAGTGTAAAAGCTCTCTAGGTGGGCCTGTCACTTCCCTCTAAAAAGTCGGAAGTGTTAAGTTAGGCTGTGGCCACAAGCTAACCTTCATAGTCCTGGACTGCCCTGGCTTCTATTCCCAAAGCCTGGATTCTTAGCAGTCCATCCTGCTAACCTTGTGTCTGAGGGGAAGGGAAAGATGCCTTCATGGGAGAGGGTCTAGCAGATTGGCTCAGACTGGTGTTTAGAGAGAGGCTCTCAGGCTTGAGTGAGACAGACGTGCTTTCAGCACCGCCCGCTGTCCCCCCTCTTACTGCAGCAATCGCCCCCTGTGCCACCGGTAACAGATCTATCAGCAAAAGATTCTCCTTCCTTTCCCTCTCCCCCTTCTCTGAATTCTGAGCCCTTGGGTTGTTTGTGGGGAGCACAGTCTTCATTTGAAACCACAGTGCACCTGGCTTTAGAGAGCAGAAAGTCGGATCCGAAGGCATGCAGCATTCCTGGTTCAATCAGTCCTTCCCTCCTTTACCCCTGCTCGCACCTTTCCCTGACAGTTTTAACCAAGGCTGTTGCAAACGGAGCAGACATGAACCTTTTGGGCTTCTGGCCATCCCCTGCTCCACCCACCTCCCCTCTCTCAAACCAAACTATGAGCTTCTCAACAAGCTAATAGCTCTTAAATCCCTCTCGAGCCAGGGGACACTTGAGCACACAGACACTTAGCAAGCTTACCCCCCTGTCGGCCGCGCAGTGGGCAGTGAGGCGGTCTATCTAGCCCCCTGTAAAGTTGGGCTGCAGGGATCAGCGGGGCAGAGCTGGCCTCTCCAGTCCCGGGCTACCCCCACCAAGATGATCTCTAGCTCATCCCCTGTGCTCAGCGCCTGCAGAACAGGCGGCTGAGGGCGGCGTGTTCAGCAATCTCCTGGCTACTGAGAAAGGGGGAAGGGGAGAAAGGGAGAGAGAGAGAGAGGAGGAGGGAGGGGTGGTAGTTTGTATTTATAGGGAACAGAGTTCTTTGCGCAACTTTTTGGTGCCACCAAGTGGCACAGTTAGTTCCTTTAGGAACAGATTCCTGGGCGAATTTGAAAGGGTAGACCAGCTCCTGCCAGATGCTCACATGGTGGGGAGACTGGATGCACCCCCAGGACTTCAGATTTTACAAGCTTGCTGTCATCTCCACACCTGGGTGCAAACCCTAAATTCTAAGAATGAACCTTATTGAGGGGGACAAGCCCATCATGCCTTCTTCAGACAAGTGGAAGGGGTGTCAAGGACATGATGAGTGCCAGTTGCCTTCTAGGATAATAGAAATCCTTGTTTCAGGAGGAATATTCATTCCTCTTGTCCTCCTAACTGCTGCCCAGATTACAATACTCTCAAGTCTCACTACAAATCCTTCTTGAGTGCATAGCCTTTAAACTGGATGTCACTGCTTTCCTTTATGCCAGAGTCAATCCTAGATTTTCTCTCAAGTACTCAAATTCAAAGAACTTCATGCCCTGGTAGCAAATCTTCAATTGCTACCTTAAAGAAAGCATGACTTAAGACTGTGGATCTGAACCTCTGCCAACAACAGCTCCAGGTGCTCCTTCTGTTGCAGGCTGGGTGTCTGACTATCCTCACTCACTTTTCCACAGACCTCTCAGCTTGCGTTGTCCAACAGCACAGCCAGCATCTTGTAACTGCCTTCGATATTTTGGGGGAGAATTTCCCTGAAGCTTTCTTTATACATATTTTCAGGCTGCTCTTCTTTTCTGTTAAGAAGATTTTCAAAAGCAGACAATCACACGCTACAGAGTGGGAACTTATTGTCTCCAAATGCAGAACAACTTCTGCATTTTGCAGATGGAAAAACCTAAGTATACAAAGGTTAAGGGACTTGTTCAAGGTCACACCTTTCTTTAGAGACAAGCTCAAGGATGATCTACAGCTGAGCCAAATGAATAAAATGATGCCATACCTGATCATCAGTCTGTTGCTCCTTCTACCAACCCACACGGTCCATTCAGTCATATTCAGTTACCTTCTCCCCCCTCCCCAAGCCCATACTGATCCCTTTGTCACCAATCTTTGCCAAATTTCCATAAAGGAATCTGGAAAAAAGACATCTTCCTATCCCCACAAGGAGTACATGAATGTGAGTTTATAAGTGCGGAGTTGCAGGTGTGCCCCCCTTAAAATGGGACACAGTTCTGGAAAACCTCACTCTTGGTACTCTAGTCAAGGAAGGGTCATTTCAGAACTATTCACACCCAGCCAGGTGTCTCCTTTCCTACATTTTCAGGATGAAGCACCAGTAAGTGCTTCCATTAGCCCCCAAACTCCTAATGGCCTTAACGAGAGAAGCCCCTTGCCTTGCTAAATGGACGTCTTCCTTGCACATATGTCTGTACAAGAGAGAGGTGAAAAGAGAGACAGAGAGACAGACATCCAAACCCCTCCTTTGGCTCAGATCTCTCTTTTTTTCTCCTTTGATTTTTTTTAGTTCGTTTTCTATGGAAACGAGCTCACTTATGCAAATAAAAACAAGATGATCTTCATAAATCTCCCATTGGAAAGATGCCGCGGGAGCCCGGGCTCCTGACTCAAAATTCAACGTCCGATTCACACAACACACGTCCTTGCAGGGTGACTTTTCTAAACTTACAGGACCTCATAGCGTCCCTGGCTCTCCCAGTCTTCCACCTGCCCACCACCTGCCCTCCTGGGTCCCTGCAGCCCAAGCTCCCGCCCCTCGCCTGGTCGCTCCACATCCCTGCGCTGGGGGAGGGGCTCCGGCGGTATCTGACATCCGTGGTAACTCTACAGCTGAGACAGAAAAACCGCGCTGTGCTTACCAGGTGCGCGCCCTGAGCCTTGCGCCCCCGGCCAGACGCTCTTCGCTGGCTCCCTGCGCTCTCCTAGCGGCCTTGGCTGCTGCTGGAGCGCTAGTGTCGGCGATGGAGGCAGTGGTGGCAGCAGGCAGAACGGCTGCGGGGCCCGCGGCGGTGGCGCTCGCTCTCTCGCGCCAGCGCCGGGAGCACGTGCCGCGCTCGGGCAGACGCAGCTGGAAGCGCAGCGCAGGGCTGGCTCCTAGTCCTGCAGCGCGCGGCGGGGGACGGCAGAACCTTTAGGGCACAGATTCCGTGGGTGAACAAGGGTCATGAAACCTTGGTAGCATCGGGGTTCGGGTGAGGGTAGCCTTGGGCTCCCCTCCTGCTCCTCAAAATTCCCTCAGGGAGCCGCGGAAGGAGAGCTGCGTGGGGAGGCGTGGGTGGTGTGTCACTCAGAGAAGCTGAGGAGCAGGTAGATAATAAGCTTCTCCCTGAGGATGGTACTTAAGCCCCTGACAGTGATTGGGAGAAGGGGAGGCTCTGCTAGGGCAGAAAGAGCTAGGAAGTCAGGAAACCCCACTATGATTCAGAGGTATGAGTGGTTAGATAGAGCGGCCTCTTTCATGATACTACTTATTAATAATGCCATTTTACATTCGCACTTCACACAAACGGTTCTTCCTACATCCATTAGAATTTCTTCTGAAGCAGTTAACTGAATTCTTCCCTTCCTCTGCCACCCCTACACCTGCCCAGGATTCTCAAAAATGCTGAGATTATCTTCAGATTCCAAAAGCAGACTTAATTTCTGCCAGTGAAAAAGAAATTGGTATAAATTATTGCATGGCTTAATTTAAAGAAAAGGAAGACATTACAGAATAGTGTTATTGTTACTCCCATTCTAGTTCCCTAGCTGTATTTTGGAAGCCAGGTGCTTGCAGGAACTGGATGAAAGATAACAGATGAGAACACTAAAGTCAAGGGGTTTGGTCCAGATGCATACATTAGTAATGCTTGTTACTAGATTTCTCAACAGACCCTTGAAAATAAGTCGTTAGCCTTTAATAGTTACAGAATTCAATAAGAAACAGAAAAATAGATACGTATCTGCTACACCTAGCTGAGCTTTACAATGATGTCTTTGCATTTCCTTGTCTACTGGTGGTACCATTGCTAATTTTCAGGTTATTTGATTGTAATCCAAAAAGCAAGTGTTAGTACTTTGTAGAGTGACCAGCAAATGTATGGTTGGTCTTCCTGGATAACAAAGAGGATGAAGATGACATAGATGAGAAAATATAAAAATAGAATTCTAAGGGAGAGAAACGGTAATTTATGACTGGATACTTTTGGTGATGTGATTAATTCTAATGAACAGTGATTTGTTGGCCCAATTTCTGGGCATTGGCAATGAGTTCAAGGCCATGTATATGCTGCTTGTGTGAAACAGTTTTGCATAAACATAGGAACATTTTAACATCCTCACTCGTCTTCATTAGTTGAAGCTAGATTCAAGCACAAGTGAGTGGGCTAAACTTGGGCAAGGGGGAGTTCTCATGTTAGCCACTCAGCCACTTAAATTCTTCAGTTTCCTGCATATATTTCCCCCTGTGCTGTTCCCCAGGGTTATGGAGAGATTGCACGTCAGAGAAAATAAGGCACTGTGTAATATGTGGCTTTCCAATATATATTCATTTGCTGTGCTCTAAGAAATAAAATGCAAAGGGTACTCCCCACATTAAACTATAGTGATATTTTCATCTGAGAAAGAAAATGTAATTATATAATCTTAAATTTCTTAATGACATTTAAAAATATAGCTTTGCCTCACAACTGTAAACTGTGAAATTGGTCAAAATGAAACTAAAATGATTATACAAATGATATTTTAGTGCCAAAAATAAATTCTGATTGTAAATTGCTCAAAGGTATGACTTTCGTCTTATGAAGAGCAAAATATGGGCCAAATATTGCAATTCTTATGTAGAATAGTAAAAAGAAAACCAATTTGTACTTAGAATTGTTTAAGCTTAAAATTTGGAATCTTCATTGATTTCCCTCTCTCACATAACAATTTAGCAGGAAATTTTGCTAGCTCTAACTTCAAAATATATCTTAGAATATGACCACGTATAATTACCTTCAGAGATATCATCTTGAATCAAACTACCATTGTCTATGCCCTGGGTTACAAATTGCAATTGCTTCCATACTAGTAGAGTGAATTTTTAAAGAAATCAAAACCCTCCAATAACTTCCAATTTCATTCAGAGTAAAAGCCCATGTCTTTGACGTTACCCTAAATAATCTTTCCCTAACTCATTAGCTTTCTGGCTGTACTTCCTACTGCTCTTCCCATTTGCTCATTATACTGTAGCCACCAGCACTTCCTGTTTCTCAAAGGTGCCCGGTAGGCTTCCACCTAATGGCCTTTGCATTAGCTGTCCCTTTTGCATGAAATAGTCTACTTCCATTTTATGTAATCTCTTCCCTAACTCTATAGTCTCCTTCACAATTTTCCTCAAATCCTACCCATCCATGAGGCCTCATCAGCCTACCCTACTTAATACCATAATTATTCTTTCATGAGCTCAGTGCTCCACGTGCTCTCTATGCAACTCTGTTTTTCCCCAAACTCTTCTTCTTTAAAAAACAATTAATTTATTTTACAGAGTGAGAGACAAAGGGAGAGACAGAGTGAAAGAGAGTCTTTTCATTACTAGTTCATTTCTCAAATGGCCCCCACAACCAAGGCTGAAGCTAAAAGCCAGGAACTCCATCATCTAGGTCTCCCACATGGATGGCAGGGGCCCAAGTACTTGGGTCATCTTGTGCTGCCTTCAAAAGCACATTAGCAGGAAGCCGGATAGCAAGTGTAGTAGCTGGGACTCAAACTGGCACTCTGATACAGTATTCATGCATTGCAGGCCCATGCACTGCAAAGATGGCCCCCTTCCCCTTAACTTTAAGCATAGTCCAACATGCTGTATAATTTACTCATTTGTTACATATAGTATTTCTTGTCTGTCTCTTCCCCTCCCTCCTATTACAATACAGACTCAAGGGAAGGGAGCTTTGTTTCACTGATATATCGCAAATACTCAGAAAAATTGTGGCACATAAAAGCCATATATTTCACATTTTGAATATATAAATATAAATGTGAGTGGAAGATCTCCCTCTATGTTTATCTCTCTCGCTATCTTTATCTCTATCTCTGTCATTCTGCCTTTCAAGTGATGAAATTAAATACAAATAGGCCGGTGCCAAGGCTCACTAGGCTAATCCTCCGCCTGCAGCACTGGCACCCTGGGTTCTAGTCCCGGTTGGGGCACCGGATTCTGTCCAGTCCAGCTCTCTGCTGTGGCCCAGGAAGGCAGTGGAGGATGGCCCAAGTGCTTGAGTCCCTGCACCTGCATGGGAGACCAGGAGGAAGTACCTGGCTCCTGGCTTCAGTTTGGCACAGCACGCCAGCCATAGCAGCCATTTTGGGGATGAACCAATGGAAAGGAAGACCTTTCTCTGTCTTTCTCTCTCTCACTCTCTCTCTCAGTAACTCTGCCTGTCAAAAAAAAAAAAAAAAAAAAAAAAAAAAAAAGAAAAGAAATTAAATACAAATAAATATCTAAAATAATTTTGAGTAGTTTTTTCATTATTTTAAAAACTGGATACCTTCAAAAAGGATTTTACAGCAGACTTCTTAAATTATAGGATCTCATCTATAACTTCAATATAAGATTCAGGCATAACATGGAAATTTAATTCAAAGAAGTTGCTACTGCTGAGTTTAGGTTCAGTTATCAGTCTGTTCTCCAGGCAGAACAAAGGCAGGACAGACAGACCTAGAATATGGCCCCATGAATTTCTAATTTTGTCATGATCCTGGGTAAAAACACAACAGTAAAGGAGTTTTTGTCTCTCAGTGCTTAGGAACTACCAATATTTTAGTCAGTGTTTTACAGGATGCCGTCCTGTCCAAGGAGTCCTCTTGGCTTTCATGTGTAAAACATAGAACTTATCTTCACACTGGGATCCTAAACCATGATTTGCTTACTAATTACAAGAGGCAAAGTGCTCCCCTGATGCCCCAGTGAATACCTGGATCCAGTAGGACTCTGAGCACCCACCCAAGAGTGTAGTGAATTTCAGGCCTAACAAATTGATAAGTAAGATTGAATTTGGCTCTTACATAACTAGAGGACTTGGACAAGCTACTGAATCTCAGAAATTCATTGCTTCATGTGTAAATGGGGAGATGAAAAAAGATAATTTTAAAAAAATCTAAATCTCTTAGTTACGTATAAAGAAACTTTGCAAATTAAAAATGTTATAGAGTTCTGGGAAAATCATAGTTTCTTTTTTCATTCATATTCCTTCACAATCTGGCTCTTTTGTTCCAATACAATACTATGTTTAGGTCAGAATTTGGATAATGACTGGGTTATTAGGGTCATACAAAATAATAGAAAATTCCTTTCTGAATTCTGGCTTTTGTATTACTGCAAATTTCTTGTTTTCCTTCTCTAAACATGGATAATAGCACATATTTAATGAGGTTGCTGCCAAGATAAGCAATAATGGTTGTGAAAAATTATGCAGTCCCTAAAACATGACAGGTATACAATGTTGTGATGAGGATTATTTTATTTTAGCTTCCAGTTATTTACATCCTGTACTTTAGAATGGCCAAGGAACTAGACATATAAAGTCCACTTTCTTAGACAATGGAAATCAGAAAACCACACTAGCTAGTTGAGTTATTTCTTTGCAAATGTATTTAAATTATAGGGTCAGGTCCTGTGATAATTCTGAGTCAATACTTTTGGCGAAGACTGTGAATTTTTTTTTTTTAACAGGCAGAGTGGACAGTGAGAGAGAGAGACAGAGAGAAAGGTCTTCCTTTGCCATTGGTTCACCCTCCAATGGCCACCGCACCGCGCTGATCCGATGGCAGGAGCCAGGTGCTTCTCCTGGTCTCCCATGGGGTGCAGGGCCCAAGTACTTGGGCCATCCTCCACTGCACTCCCTGGCCACAGCAGAGAGCTGGCCTGGAAGAGGGGCAACCGGGACAGAATCCGGCACCCCGACCAGGACTAGAACCCGGTGTGCTGGTGCTGCAAGGCGGAGGATTAGCCTAGAGAGCCGCGGTGCCGGTGACTGTGAATTTTTTATAAACAATCAACAAAAAGCTTAAATATAATGAAAGTAGCATTTTGTTTTTCATTAAAAGACCGAGTAAGGTTACACAGAGGATTTTATCCTTTCAGACAATGCCTCAGAATCATTGCTTGATAGAATCCATGGAAACTACACTGTCTACATGAGAGACAATTATACTCACCATGGTTTGTATGGCTGTTGCAACTATATTTGGTCCGGATAAGCCCTAACTACCTGAAATCTAACTTATGTATGA